CTCGGTCCAAGCAAAGATGCCATGTTTATTCTTGGGGACAAGATCGCATCGACTATCATTGCCCAGTCGAACGGCGTGCCGACAGTGCCGTGGAGCGGTAGCGAGATTCGGCTACCGCCTGGCGAATATGAGTTGGATCCTGAGGTCTACAGCAGGGCCTACGTCACGACTCCAGAGAGCTGTGAGGCGGTGTGTCGCGCCATCGGGTTCCCAGTGATGATCAAGGCCTCAGAGGGTGGTGGTGGAAAAGGAATCCGGTGTTGTACGTCCCCTGGACAAGTAAAAGATTTGTTTTTGGCGGTTTCAGAAGAGGTAAAAGGTTGCCACATCTTTGTGATGCGCATGCTCAGCAATGTGCGCCATTTAGAGGTACAATTGCTTGCAGATGACTACGGCAACTGCATCACCGTGCGCACCCGTGACTGCAGTGTTCAGAGACGCCACCAGAAGGTTATCGAAGAAGGCCCCGTCTTTAACGTCCCGCGAGATGTGATCACGGCGATGGAGCAGGCCGCAGTTCGCCTCGCTAAGACGGTAAACTACCAAGGCCTGGGCACGGTTGAGTACATGTATGACAAAACCACTCATCAATTCTACTTTTTAGAGTTAAACCCGCGCATTCAGGTGGAGCACCCGGTATCAGAGCTTATCTCTGGTGTCAACCTCCCCGCAGCCCTTTTTTGCGTCGGCATGGGGGTGCCACTCCATCGCATCCCGGAAGTACGTCAGTTTTATGGCGAAGATCCCTATGGTACCTCGCCTATCGACTTTGTTAATTGTGAGAGTCTGCCACCAAAGTGCCACACCATTGCCGTACGTATCACCTCTGAGAACACTGATGAGGGGTTCCGTCCAACATCCGGCCGAGTAGAGGAAATTACATTTAAGAACAGCAAGGAGTGTTGGGGTTACTTTTCAGTCAACTCCGGCGGCGAGATCCACCAGTTTGCGGACTCGCAGTTCGGTCACATTTTCTCCTCCGGTAGCACTCGAGAGGATGCCCGACGTGGCATGGTGCTCGCCCTGCGCAACCTCGTCATCCGCGGCGAAATCCACACTTCTTCGGCGTATATTATGGAGCTTCTGGAAACAGCAGAGTTCCGGCAGTGCGATGTGGACACCGCATGGCTTGACCGTCTCATTGCGAAATCCAACGCGGCGGCGCCAAGCCGTGAGGGGGTATACCTTGCCCTGATTGCCGCCAGTATCTTCCGTAGCTCACGCCGCATGCAGGAGAACACCGATAAATATATCTCCTTCCTCTCCGCTGGCCACATCCCCCTCGACGGAGTACCTCTCCAACTACATCACTGAGTCGTATGTCTGTCATGGCATAAAGTACACGGTTTCGGCCGGCAGGATCGCTCCGAGTGAGTACGCCTTGTCCCTGAACGGCAGTGTTATAGATGTGCCGTATCGAATCCTCAAGTCTGGCGCCACCCAGCTCACCGTTGGGAACCGGACCTATGTGGCCTATATTGGGAAGGAGCCCGACAGCATCCGCGTTACGATTGGGAACAAGGCCACCACCTTCACCGGCGATGTGGACCCGACGAAAATTACGGCCTCCGTCCCCGGGAGGCTGGTGCGCTACCTGGTTGAGGACGGGGCCCACGTCAGCGAGGGCGAAATATTCGCTGAGATCGAAGTTATGAAGATGATTCTACCGCTGCGGGTGACCACCTCCGGTCTGCTTCGTCATCATGCCCTTCCAAGCAGCACCATCGCGGTGGGTTCTCTGCTCGCGAGCATCACCCCCGACGACCCGAGTAAGGTCAACCGGCCGAAGGACGACGAGGGCCCCTGGCCGGACGAGTTGCTGCCAGACCACAAGTACGAACACCCAGACGGCGTCACGCGGGCCTCCCGCGCGGCGGAGAGCCTCTGGAATAAGTTGCAGGGCTACCACTTTAAGAACGTGCCGATCGAGAAAAGTCTACAGAGCATCTTTCAGAACTTGGCTTCTGTGTTTCTGTCCTCGGTAACGCTTGAAAAGCTCCACTTGTCCTTTCTGCCGGAGACTGAGCTGAACCAGGGCAAGATGCAGACCCCGAACGAGAAGATGGGCATCATTTTATCCACTGTCATCGATCACTACGTCTCCGTGGAGTCTTCCTTTGACCAATTGACGAGACAGGAAGCTCTAGAGAAGTTGCGGAGCTCTGAAAAGGATCAAAGCGAGATTTTCGCGATGGATTTCGCGCACAATCAAAGCTGCCACCATGAGGTCGCTAAAAGCATTCTAGCCTACCTGGAATCCAATCACCTGCTCCTCAAGTCATTGCAGCCGACCCTTTCCAGGATTGTCGAGCTGCAGTCCCACGAACTCGGTCCATTGCTGCTCCAGGCACGCTACCTGCTGCGCCAGTGCCTGCTACCCTCTCTCGCCGAGCGCAAGGTGCTCCTCGCGAAGGAGCTGGAGGAGGGCTCCATGGAGAATCTGATTGCCAGCAGCTACGGCTACGATTTGCTGTGCTCCGTCATGTTTGATAGTCAGATGCCGCACCTCACACAGGTCTGCCTGGAGGTTTTCATCCTTCGTGAGTACTTCGGCGACAATACGATCAAGGACTTGGACATTTTCAGGTCCGGGTCGAATTGGTACGCGACGTATAGCTTTGAGCCTCTGGAAGAGCTCCATCATCTGGAGATTGATGAAGATGCACAACAACATAATGGTCTAGATACTGGAATGGGGTTGTGTATGGTGATTCCGCACTACCAGGACCTGCGCTCAACCCTCGAGATTTCCTTCCGGAAGGTCTTGGCGCGGTGCACAGGTGAAGCCACCGTGTGCGCCATCTTCCTCTCCGTGACGCACGACTACACGCAAATGTCAGTAGCGGAGAATTGTCGACGGGTTCTGCAAGAGAACCAGAAAGTGATTGACAAGTACAAGGTGCTCGAAACGATCTACTACGTCGTCCATGGTGTTCATGAGGGTCCACATATCTTCACCTTCCGTCGAAGCACCGGCTTCCGCGAAGACGAGCTGATGCGGAACGTGTTGCCTCAGTCGGCGCGTCGCCTCGAGTTGGAGCGGCTCTCCAACTTTGACGTTTGCCGCTGTCCATCCTCCTATAAGGAGGTCCATGTGTTTAAAGCCACGCCGAGAATGAGACCCACCTCGAAGTTCGAGAGTCGCCTATTCGCCCGCATTGTGGTCACACCGCATGACATCGGCGTCGAGCCGTGGACGGTCACCACGGAGGTGGACGCGGGCCACATGCTTTCCAAGTCCTTGTCCGCGCTGGAAATCGTACGCAACGACGCGACAATTCAGTACCCGGCAAGCAACCATATCTTTGTCAAGATGATCAAGCTGACTTTTGACCTGGGATCGCTTCGCCAGCTGCTCACTTCGGTGGGGTTCTCGTATCAACAGCGGCTACTCGCGCTTGGGGTCTCGGAGGTGGAGCTGTCCTTTCCGGTGAAACTAGCGTGCGGGGTGGTCCCGATGCGCGTCGTGGTGGAGGGTCCCAGCGGTTACGGTATCGTCATGAGAACGTTCTACGAATCAATTGAGAAGGGGGTGGTGTTTCTGCATCGTGC